AAGTGTGCAGTGAATGAGTGAAGGGTTATAGCGTTCAGTGAACACCTCTACACACATCACATGCGAGTCGACTGAGAAATACCTCTTCTTATAGAGCGTTGAAATGAATTAAAAGTAAGTTTTAAAACAATTTATTCATTGATTTAACGCGTGATTAGAGACGAGACACATGCGGATGAGGTGGTGGTGATGGCAGGGATGTGGTGTGGATGTGGTTCGCGGTGATGGGATGGGAGGGGAGGACAGGGATGAGTGTGTTCGCGAAGGGCACACTCTATAGGAGTGATTGGTTTGACAGTGAAATCAGTGAACATAAGATGTATTCATATAATAGTGTTATTCATAGCATTAGAAATAAAAACATTGAATTGAATGGCAATAGAATTGAGTGATCATTATATATGATATTAGATATGATTTGATATATGTATCGATAAATCAATTAATTCATTATCGACTCAATTGGTGACCGCATGTGGTGTCCATCGTCTGAACGGATGAACACATCCTACGATAAGACATATATTTATAAAGTGAAACATTGGCTCAAATAGTGAGTCGAGTGGTGACCGAAACAGTGGTTTCGTTGTTTTGATCGCAAATCGCTTTCGAGACGTGATTTCAAAGCGAAAGCAATCCTATTATGAAATTGTCTTTCATTTGATTGAAACCAATATTTGTTTGCATTTCACTCGAAGGTAAACACAATGTCTTGTAATGACTGCGAGATTAATGTGTGACTCATAGGCAGACGGATGACAGTCGTTATGAGTACGAGTGGCCAACAGAGCCAACAGTCATCGCAATCGCATCCCAACCCCAGTGCCAGTCATTCTGGCGGTCAGTCAGAGCCCACTCCCACTCAGACATCGCTGACACAGACGTCGGACGCTCAGGAGACGGCTGAGTGCGGCGACCAGAGCTCGGCTCAGGCCTCCAGTGCCGGCCCACCGACGCACGTGTCCACCAAATTCACTGTCACTCAGATCAGCGCCAAGAGTGGCCGCAAGAGCAACAAACCCGTTAAGACTATGTCCGACAATAACCTCAACAGTGATAACAGTGAAGATGTTTCGCACATTTCGAGTACTAGTCATCACAAGAGCAATGAGTCGCTCAACACATCGGAGGACATGATTGAGATGAGCACCGATTGCGACGACAATGACGTGAAGCAGGAGTTGGCCGACGACGAGGAGCCGGACTTCCCGGTCGACGAACTCAACAAATTGGATGATATGATCAATAAGCCCCGTTGGGTCATACCTGTGCTCCCGAAGGGCGAACTCGAGGTGCTCTTAGACACCACTATTAGGCTCTGCAAACACGGCTATGACGTGCGCTCGGAGCCCTGCCAGAGGTTTATCAGAGAGGGTCTCACCGTTTCGTTCACCAAAATACTGACCGATGAGGCCGTCAACGGCTGGAAGTTTGAGATTCACGTAAGCCTTCCCTTCACTACCTCTGTATTTCAAGTCGTGTTATACTGTATTGTGTTATTGTGTTTGACTTTCTGCCAAATCAGTCACAATCACATTCACTATAACTTATTGTTATTTTAAATGTTATACGCTTTCAAATTGAATGTTTCAATTGATTATGAAATGAAATAATTTGTTATTTTTATTGTCAATGATATAGCGATGTATTCTAAGCAACTGCGAGCGACTCATTGAGTTGGTTGTACTTAAGCTGAATCAGGACTGGTTTCCCCTCTTAGATCTGCTCTCAATGGTCTTCTGTCCATCCAATAAGTCAGTCAATGATATCTTATTTTCGAAATAATGATAATTTATTAAATGAATGATTGAAATGCTCACAGATTTCACTCGTTTACGAGCACTCGAACCGAAATGACTGCGCGATCGCCGGATGAGGAAGTATTCGCCAAAAGTCCTGACCCGCGGACGCCTCGGGGATGGCTCGTAGACCTGATTAATAAATTTGGGAAATTAGGCGGTTTTAGGATACTATTGGAGCGTTTCGAGAGTCGGCCCACACTTACAGTTCCTCTAATCGCGGCACTATTAAAACCGTTCGGCTTTTGTTACGAGTTATTGACGCCTCAAACGATTGAGAAATATTTTTTACCGATTGTTAAACTCGTGCCTCAATTCTTGGAGAACCTGACCGACGATGAGCTCAAGAAAGAAGCCAAGAATGAGACGAAAAACGACGCGCTCTCAGGAATAGTGAAGGCTTTGAAGTGTTTGGCTTCTCGTATACCCAATGAAGAGGAGATGATTAAGGAATTAGAGATTTTTAGACTAAAGACTATTTTAAGATTACTCCAAATCTCGTCATTCAATGGCAAAATGAATGCTCTGAACGAAGTGAATAAAGTAATTACTAACGTTTCCTATTACTCGCACCGACACCAGAGCCCCGGCTGCATGACTGGTGTCGATGAGGAGGAGTGGCTGACCGCCGAAAAGATGGCCGAATGGCTCAAAGAGAACAAAGTGTTGCAAATAGTGTTAAGGGATTCACTACATCAGCCTCAATACGTCGAGAAATTAGAGAAAATTATACGTTTTGTCATCAAAGAGAAGGCCTTAACTCTCGAAGATTTGGATGACATCTGGTCGGCACAGAGTGGCAAACACGAGGCTATTGTCAAGAATGTGCACGACTTGTTGGCTAAGCTGGCCTGGGATTTCGCACCCGAACAGTTGGACCACTTGTTTGAGTGCTTTCAGTCGAGTTGGACTAAAGCCACTAAAAAACAGAGGGAAAAGCTGTTGGAACTGATCCGACGACTCGCTGAAGACGATAAGGACGGACTCATGGCTAACAAAGTGCTGAACTTATTGTGGAATTTGGCGCATTCGGACGACGTTCCCAACGATATTATGGATCAGGCACTGGGAGCCCACGTGAAGATATTGGACTACAGTTGCTCTCAGGACCGGGACTCGCAAAAGACCGAATGGCTCGACAAGTGTGTCGAGGAACTCAATAAACCGAACGGAGGCTTTTGGGTGCTGCCGGCGCTCAAACAGATTCGTGAAGTGTGTTCGCTGTATAACGAAGCGCCGCCTAACTTTGTAGTCTCAGGTCCAACCATTTCAGCCAACAGTTCACATCACCAAAGGGTCACACATTTGATATATAGACACGAAATTATATCTCGACTCCAGAACCAGCACTCACTGGTGATACTCGTGTCGGAAAACTTGTCGTCGTATATGAATAGAGTGCGGACTCTGTATAAAGAGAACAAACACTTGGATCCCAATCACGTCTATCCCGGCAGTCGGTTCTCTCACGTCCAAGAAGTTCAGGAAAGACTCAACTTTTTACGGTTTCTCCTAAAAGACGGACAGTTGTGGCTGTGCTCACCTCAAGCCAAACAGATCTGGAAGTGTTTGGCAGAGAATGCCGTTTATCCCGAGGACAGAGAGGCCTGCTTTCGGTGGTTCTCGCAACTGATGAGTGATGAACCGGATTTAGATCCCGATATAAACCGAAACTTTTTTGAGAACAATATCCTGCAATTGGATCCGTCTTTAGTCACTGAAACTGGAATCGAGTGTTTCGACCGATTCTTCAAAGCCGTGAACGTAAAGGAGGGGAAACTGATCGCAAAGAGACGCTGCTATCAAATGGAAGACAACGAACTCATAGGAATCGACTATTTATGGAGAGTTATCTTGTGCTGCAGTGAAGACGTGGCCCGAAAGGCCATAGAACTGCTCAAAGAGACCTACACTAACCTCGGACCCAAACTCATGTCATCTCAGGTCGAACTCCACGAAGACTTTATCACCACTTGTTTCGATAGATTACGTGCGAGTTATGACACGATTTCCATTCTCGAGAAAGACTCGTCTTCTGAGACACGGGTGAGACAAGAGATGATTAAAATGACGCGAGTTTTGGACGCTCTCTACGAGTATGTGAATCAATGCGACAACGATTTCGGCGAAGAGCGCACTATTCTGCCAATGAGTCGATCTTTTAGAGGCAAACATCTCATGTTAACCATTCGTTTCCCAAATCATGGCCGACATGTGGACGACATCGAGATCTGGACCCATACTAACGATACCTTACATTCTATACGACAACAGATACTTTCAAAGTATGAATTCTTTACGACTCTTAATGTGAAATATTTCTAAATATTGATTTGTTATTTGAAAAATAGGATTAAAGTAAACAACGCTAACATGAAAGTAGACCTCTATATGAACGGCGATCTTTTAGACCCAATCGATAAAAAACTTGTCTCACAGTTGCCTTTCAAAGACAAAATGGTTTGCAAATGAATGCATTAATGATACCGTATATTGAATTAACGATAACTGTTTGTGTTTGCAGTCTCTAACGGGCAAACTATTTCAAGTGAACTCGAATATGGCCTGTTCTCCAGACTCATCGTCCGACAGTTCCACGGGTTCGCCACACAATCCATACATTGGATCTAATCCAGAAGCTGAGGCCTGTCTGCCAGGAGTGGTACTGTTTATAACTCATTGAATGTTTAATACAAATGTTAACTAATTTGTTGTCGTGATTGCAGATAATGTCAAATCAGCCACAATTCGCTCAATTTCTGTTCCAATTGGCAGACATCGGAATGTCGCTAAACAACCCGTCATTACGTGAAAGTGCATTATCTCTGCTCAAAATAATGCCGGCCGACACTCAGACCATACAACACATCAAAGAGTTGTGTTTGTGTTCGGGCGGCGTTTCATATGAAGAACAGGGACCCAAATTTGATTCTGAATTTTTCAACACCTCTCCCACGCGTATCATCTATAATATGGGAATTATTTATTCACTATTAATACCCGCCTCTAATCCACTGTCAGAGGAGGCGCGAGACTTTCAGTTAGATTTCATGAAAAGTGGTTGTGGTCTCAAAATTCTCGAATTACTCAATAAAAACAATTTCCTCGCAAATGCCGACGATTTCAGCAAAATGTGAGTCTTTTTCCCATTCATTGAGTTGTGGTCTAATGACTGGTTGTGTTTGGTGTTTGTCCGGCCAATAGGTGCGCGTATTTGATTGTACTCAAGATCAGTAAACTAACTCTCACTACAATAGCCAACTGTGTGTTGACACCAATATCTGCCAACTCCCCGAACCTGATCACTACATTACAAGACGCCATTCAAAGTATTCCAAACGTTTCCTCTGAGTGTATGACACGAAGTGTTGCGCAAAGAATCGCTCAAATTCTCCGCATTTTTGATAATAATATCTATAATAATATCGTAAACTACAGACCAGATAAGGCCACTATATCTTCAGTGATGCTCTTGTCGTGGTCCGCAGCCACTGGTCGGGAGTCCGCACTTCACTCCTCCACAGAGCAGTTGCACGAAATGATTGCTGAACCGGTCGTCGATAGTCCCGCCGAAGTGTATCAAGTGTGCAAAGAAGCCATAGAAGTGTTGACTGTGATGTTCATGTTATCGCCTGAAGTATTAGTAGTACTCATGAAGGAGCAGATGTGGCAGACGTTTGTCATTGATTTGCTGCTTATCTGTCCCGAAAAGTATGTCTTGTCTACCATTGAATTGAGTTTGAAAACGAAATTGATTTTGTTGTCAACAACTCGTTTGCAGATCTATTCGCTCGACTTCTATGGAACAGTTGGCACTAATCGCCACGAAGTGTGCGATAGAACAGGACTTTTTAGTTAGGTTTATACAACTATTGCACAATCATTTGGCCTCAACTGTTCCAAAGGAGACACACTATCAGTCATCGCAAGAGTTTTTCCAATTATTTTGTCGACTTCTTAACTATGCGTCACAAACCAAGTGTTTGCTGCCCAACGCCTCAGATCTTCTAAATTACGAGATGCAACAGTTGAGGAATGTTAGGGTCAGTGTCACCACAACCACATCCACTGAATCCAATGATTTATACTTTAATTGTTATTTGTTTTGCAGAAGAGTTTGGTCGTCGATGGACTCATTGAAGAGATCCAATTGGAGGGACATTTGGGTATAACTAAAGAAATAGTCTCTCTCTTGGATTGCGAACAAAAATATGATGTCGGCTGTGATAAGAATGGCATTTGGGGGCCGGAAGGGCACGGATTGATCACTATATTGATCGATGAATATATATTCCCCTCTTCGCGAGCTATTTATCAAACAAACCAACAGAAGAACGCCAACCGAACGCATGTGGAGGAAGTGAACCCTATCTGCACCTCTCCGTCGACACTGACGGCTGCCTACGAAGTGTTGGTCGCTCTCTGCACGGGCTGTGCATTCAATCTGAGACTGACTGCCAATACTATCGTCGAGATGTTCTATTCAAATAACGACCCGTTAGTCGATTGGGAATATTTGCCACCAATTGGTCCGCGGCCTCCGCGAGGTTTTGTGGGCCTAAAGAATGCCGGCGCCACGTGTTATATGAATTCCGTTCTCCAACAGGTTTTTGTTATTAAATTAATGCTGAGATTGAGTTTAGAGATCTAACGTTGTTTTATTTGGCAGTTATTTATGATTCAAGAAATCCGAGACGGAATCCTCGCAATAGAAGGCGCGGCCACTGATCCCAACGAAGACTTTTCTGGCGAAGAGAGGAATGAATCGATTCACTCGAGTCTTACGAATTTGGAACAAAATAGAGCCGAAGAAAGCGTGAAGAATGACTCGCGAAAAGACTATAACCTCGGAGTTCTCAAACAAATTCAGGCCATTTTTGGACATTTAGTTCTCAGTAAATGTCAATATTATGTCCCAAAAGGCTTTTGGAGACATTTTAAGTAAGTGTTGATAACTGAATAATCTTTAAAATGTATTATAATTTCCTAAAATGATGTGCAGATTATGGGGCGAACCGGTGAACCTCCGGGAACAACACGACGCCCTCGAGTTCTTCAACAGTTTGGTCGACAGCTTAGACGAGGCTCTCAAAAGTTTAGGTCATTCGCCAATAATGTCGAGTGTATTGGGCGGCACTTTCGCTGATCAAAAAATATGTAGGGATTGTCCGCACAGGTATGCCATTGATTTGATAAATAGATTTAGTCTAAGAATATAATCTATTATTTATTTGAAAAGATATTCGAGAGAAGAGTCGTTTACAACATTAAACATAGACATCAGAAATCACTGCAATTTGTTGGACTCGTTGGAGCAGTACGTGAAGGGAGACCTACTGGAGGGCGCAAACGCCTATCACTGCGAGAAATGCAACCGAAAAGTGGATACAATGAAGCGCTTGTGTATCAAGAAATTGCCGTCAGTTCTGGCCATTCAGTTGAAGAGGTTTGACTACGACTGGGAGAGGGAGTGTGCGATCAAATTCAACGACTACTTTGAGTTCCCGCGTCTGCTTGATATGGAACCTTATACGGTGAGAGGACTGGCCAAAGTGGACGGGCAGGTAATAGACGAGGATCTCAGTGCCTATGAGGACGAGGAGGCGTTTACTGAAAAGGAGAAGCAGTGCACGAAATACGACTTATGCGGGATTGTCGTGCACTCGGGTCAGGCCAGTGGTGGCCACTACTACTCGTATATCCTCTATAAGGGTAATAACGGCACCAAAAAGTGGTTTAAGTTCGACGACGGAGACGTCTCTGAGTGTAAGCTCGACGAAGACGAGGAGATGAGAGTCCAGTGCTTTGGCGGCGATTATATGGGAGAAGTGTTCGACCATATGTTGAAACGGATGTCGTGTCGGCGCCAGAAGAGGTGGTGGAACGCATACATCCTTATCTATAGGAGACTCGACACCGAAGAGACAACACTTGCCAAACGACTCAATGAATTAGTTCTAATGGAGTCCAAGACTAACGACAAGAAGTTATTCAAAATGCCGGTCGCTATCGAACACAGCGTTCAGCGACAGAACATCCGATTCATGCACACGAAGAATCAGTTCAGTTACGAGTACTACCAGTTCATGAAGAAGTTGATCAGCGCTAACGGACAGCCGACTCACACGCCTCACACCCTTGCACTCAAAGACAACAACAAATTGGTTGAAGACTTGGCCACAATCAGTACACAATTGGCCGCAAAGTTCTTGTTCTCCACATGTCTTCGCACTAAAAAGACTCTTCGGTTTGACTTTTGTTTAATAGTCTCACGAATTAATTAATTTTAATGATATTTGTTTGACTGTATCAGAGGGCCAGCTATGGAGTGGTACGACGTCTTGAGCTTACATTTAAGAGTTAGTGAATCGATAAGGCATTGGTTCACAACTAAAGTCCTATTAGCACATCCCCACCGATTCAGTGAATATCTGCTGGAATGCCCGTCCGCTGACGTGAGGGCGGCCTTCAGTAAAATAATTATCTTTTTAGCTCATTATGCCCTTCAAGAAGGATCTCAATTAGAAGTGCAACAGTCCTGTGAGTGTCCACCCATTCAATGCTAATGTACTTTGTTTTAAGACAATTTGTTGCCTTTCCTTACAGCACACGGTAGCGAACCGTCGGTTCCGAACCTTTCGTTTTATTTAATTCGTTTGACATTAGATTTACTTCGAAAAGAAGTGTCAGATTATAGTCGAAATTTAGGCCAATATTTCAGTTTGTTTTCAATGTATGCGTCGTTAGGAAAGGCAGAGAAGTTACAGCTGTTGAAGCAGAACGTACCGGAGCTCTTCATATTAGTGGCACTGGACGAGGGGCCCGGCCCTCCCATCAAATACCAATACGCAGACTTAGGCAAACTGTATCACGTGGTGAGTCTTCTGGTCAGGTGTTGTGATGTCTCTTCCAAAACCATGTCTTCAATGCCCGGAAATCCACGAGTTTTGACGAATCCGTTCGTTGCCGAAGACATCGGCGAATATCTGATACCTATTCAGCCAAATGTTGCGGAATTGGTGTTCAATAAAACGAATTATATTAAGAAAATAATAGAAGAGGCGAACAGTGCGGACGACACCATCAAACTGTTGAAGTTCTGCTGCTGGGAAAACCCCCACTTCTCGTCCACCGTCTTGAATGAGCTCTTGTGGCAAATCGCCTACTCTTACGCCTATGAACTCAGACCTCATTTGGATTTATTGTTACAAATGCTTCTGTTGGAGGACTCGTGGCAAACACATCGCATCCACAACGCTCTCAAAGGAGGTTCAATTGAATCACTCTTTTAGCGATTTCTCAGCTAATCATTTGTTGTCTCATTAGGTAATCCCGATGATAGAGAAGCGCTTTTTGATACAATACATCGAAACAAAACCCATTACCAGAAGCGCGCGTATCAGTGCATCAAATGTTTGGTCACTTTGTTTACGTCGTGTCCATTAGCGCACCAAATACTACACGAAACGGTCGATCTTAAGAGGAAGTGGTCGAGTGCTGTCACGTGGCTTAACGACGAGCTCGAGAGGAGGCCCTACGCGGCCAACACTCAGTACGGTTACAACAACTGGTCGCCTCCCGCACAGTCAAACGAGACCAGTAATGGCTATTACCTCGAGAGGTCTCACAGCGCGAGAATCACTCTATCGAGAGCTCACGAGTTGTGTCCGCCTGAAGACAATCCCGAAGATCTCGATGAGCCAGAGATGCCCGAAGACCCCGACAGTCCTCCCGAAGCCCTCAATGATGTCATAAATGAAGGGAATCGCCGCCAACGACACCGAATCAGACTCGGGGACAGTGCTAATGAGGACTCTGCGAACAAGTGGTTTCAAGGGGTGAGCGTTGAGTATAAGTCCAATGAGACGATGCCTCGCAATACAATGCCGATGGGCGGTAACCCCCAGACCCATCCACAGGCCTGTCCCTCGAGTCCTACTCAGGGCGACAATGAGGGCTCGAATCGCAACTTCGCGTGGATTAACAGCAACTCTTCGCATAACAGCTCCCCCACCAAAATCAAGCCGTTGTGCACTTCCCCTAAGATCAAGCCTATGATTGTGAGCCCCCTCTCTGGCGCTCCGGTATCTCAACAGCAATCGACAAGTTTTGATAGTGAGACTCAACACGAATCCGATAAAAGTCAACAAAAAAACATATTTAATGAAAATGAAGAAAATTGAAGGACATGTGAGTAGTCGTTGGAAAAGCAAACATTTTATTACATTATTATGTTTTTGACAAATGATTATTTCATTAATATTTGAATAAATGATTATTTAAATAACAAAATTTATATATTTATAACAAAATCTCTCCACTAAGCAAATGATTTTGATATTCATTTGTCAAACAAAAAGTCTATTAAATTATATAAGAATTCAAAACACACACCGATTTGATTTATATGAGAGTATTAAACAAAAACGTTTATAGAATGACATTAAATGCAGTCATTTTAATATTGAATTGATTAAAAATTATATTAAATATGATTTATCGACAAGACGTTGTGTACAGAAAGATATAAAATATGCAAATATTTATGTTAAAGCGGTTTATAAAAAATAATAGTCTTTTTATAATTTTTTGCTGTAAATCGCAAACAAATATTTGTTGTTTCAAATTGAATTGAGTATAAGAATCACACAATTCATACACACTTTGAGTTTTGTTAAAATTTAATACCATTTAATAATAAATAGTGATTTCAAAGATCCCATAATTATTAATAATTATTCATTAAAAACCAATTTTGGAAAATGTTTCAATTGATTCAATGATTATTTTTGTCCGTTTTCTTTGACACCACTAATTCATTGATTGATTAATAATTGATTAATAAATTCATTGATTAATAAACTGATAGAAAACAAGTGAGACTTTTGAAACTCAAAAAATGTTGTTATAATAAGCATTGAAAGACTTTGAGTCAAACTTTGATCATATCTTTATAAAGAATTACTGTTTTATAATTATAGGACAAAATGCTGTAAAATAATGGATATATTGATATTTAAACAAAAATAGTATAATAAATATTATATGAATATAAATATCTGTTTATATCAATAAAGTTTCTAATTATAAAAATAGTTGTCTGTTTATTAATATTCATTATTACGTTAATTGCGTGAACAATAAAATGAAAGTAAGTAATCAATAGTTAGTTTGCAATTCTGTTAGTAATAAAAATACAGAAAATATATAGAAAGACGAGAAGAGACCATTTGTGACACTAATTGCCAAACAACAGGTAAAGTATTTTTACCTTTTCACAGGTAATTAAAATAAGCTCATGTATTGAAACAAACAGTTAAATAGCTAAAGTACTTCTGAATGTCTTTGACTAAACTTTAGTCAATAAATTTCTATTCTTTGTATTTGAAAGTTTCAAACAAACATATTCTTCCGATATTATTACTGTAATGAAGTGAATATTGCTTATATTGTGTTACTTACTGTACGTTCATAAATTATTAATACAATATATGATATGAATTCGAGAATTTTATAAATTATTAGTATTTTATAATATAAATGTGATTTAACCTTGCTTCAACTCTGAGAGAACGTAAAACAGGTATTTTTGATACAATTATTTTTCAAATGAATTATATNTTAATACAATATATGATATGAATTCGAGAATTTTATAAATTATTAGTATTTTATAATATAAATGTGATTTAACCTTGCTTCAACTCTGAGAGAACGTAAAACAGGTATTTTTGATACAATTATTTTTCAAATGAATTATATTTATATATGTTTAACAAAGACTGGGATTTTACCCTTTGATGCAATCGTATGATTTAAATTATGTTTTAATTATTTGATAAGGAAATAAAATCAACGTTTTAAATAAAACATGAAATGGCATTTACTGCTTAAATAAAAATTATTGAATTCACTATTAGTATAATTGAATATGTAGTGCTACTATATTATAAAGTGTACGAATAGTTTTAAAGTTTTAAAAATTCATTCTCCAAGATGTTGCCAAAGAATTTAAGAAAATGTTTGAACAAAATATTGGCAAACATTGGTTACAATGAGTTTTAGTGATATGAGTGGATGTGGTCTCACCTCTAACTCTCGTGTCATTCAATGTTTGCAAACCAACCGAAGTCTGTCTCTTCCATTTGGTTCTTCTGTTTTGATACCATGTCTTCACTTTAAGGACGAATTTATTATTAAACAGATTAGAATGAATGACACGATTATAAATACAGTAATTATACCCTGGCTATCTGCAAGTTGCAATGCTTGTGCCAAACGGAATCTCTCGATACCATTCAGATACTTGTGATGAGCAAAACTGGCCTCAAGTGCTCTCAACTTATTTGGAAATTAATGAGTAAATTATAAAAATACAACAAATGATAAAATATTATACGGTATTAACAACTGACTTGACTTTCAGTGAAAGCGGTTCTTGATTTGCGACACTTTTTGTTTGAATGAAGATTCATATCATAAGAAATCGTAAGTTCTTTATCCAAAATTAATTTAAATTAGATTAAAAGTGAACAAAAAAAAAGCTATGATAATAAATATATGAACTAATTTATAATTTACAAATAAAACATACCTTGATTGTCATCATTACAAAAGTTATGGTTCTTGACTTGAGTTGTTCTAACGTGTGCTGAACCGATGTCTTCATTCAGTAAACTTCTTATAGAGAACGAAATCTTCTCATTCTTTGCATTTAGAAATAAACTTTGTTTAAAATAATTATTTTTAAAAATTAAAAAATATTTTACTAAAATATGCTGGTCGAGTCCTTTAGTTGTCATTTCTAATTTAGGATCCATTACTGATAGCAAGTATAGATAGACACTGTACAGTATAACAACTCTCTTGAAAAGTTTTTCAATTGTTATGTATTACACCAAATGATATGTTTAGTTGGTTGTCATGTCTGGCTACTATTAAACCTTGTTTATCACCGGAACATTTTCAGTCTCATAATGCTAGTCTAAATTTGTCACATTTATAATTATAGTGGTTGGATACTCAATACAATACACACTGTTTGGACACATTATACCGTAATTTGCATTATATTCTATTGCATTGTAGTTTTGTTAAGTTTGATCCATAACTAATAAATTATTCTACAATTGATATACTGTACTGTAGTTAATAAAATTGTCTTGTATATATTTTATAAGTGTATACTGGCATAAATATACTGAATTATGTTTTCTTTTGCTATTTTAATAGTTTATACAGCAAGTATTTGATTGATTGATTTAAATAATTGCAATAAAGTTTAACTTTGAATTTATATTAATATAATAAGAATTTATTAATATACGAATAAACAATCATAATTTAAAGAGTAATAAAAATTATAAATATGATTAACATATAATAAAAAAGTTGTTTGCATATTAATTAAAGTGGCTAAAAGTTAGTTTAAAATGTATTTATATCATACAGTAGAATAGTGCAGTTTAATAGGCAATCAAGTTTTGACATTAAATTATTATCAATAATCTTATACTCATTCTGTATATTAATAAATAGTGTTTATTAAACGCTTATGATTTTGAATTAATACAATATATGATATGAATTCGAGAATTTTATAAATTATTAGTATTTTATAATATAAATGTGATTTAACCTTGCTTCAACTCTGAGAGAACGTAAAACAGGTATTTTTGATACAATTATTTTTAAAATGAATTATATTTATATATGTTTAACAAAGACTGGGATTTTACCCTTTGATGCAATCGTATGATTTAAATGATGTTTTAATTATTTGATAAGGAAATAAAATCAACGTTTTAAATAAAACATGAAATGGCATTTACTGCTTAAATAAAAATTATTGAATTCAATATTAGTATAATTTAATATGTAGTGATATGTAGTGCTACCATATTATAAAGTGTACGAATAGTTTTAAAGTTTTAAAAATTCATTCTCCAAGATGTTGCAAAAGAATTTAAGAAAATGTTTGAACCAAATATTGGCAAACATTGGTTACAATGAGTTTTAGTGATATGAGTGGATGTGGTCTCACCTCTAACTCTCGTGTCATTCAATGTTTGCAAACCAACCGAAGTCTGTCTCTTCCATTTGGTTCTTCTGTTTTGATACCATGTCTTCACTTTAAGGATGAGTTTATTATTAAACAGATTAGAATGAATGACACGATTATAAATACAGCAATTATACCCTGGCTATCTGCAAGTTGCAATGCTTGTGCCAAACGGAATCTCTCGATACCATTGAGATACTTGTGATGAGCAAAACTGGCCTCAAGTGCTCTCAACTTATTTGGAAATTAATGAGTAAATTATAAAAATACAACAAATGATAAAATATTATACGATATTAACAACTGACTTGACTTTCAGTGAAAGCGGTTCTTGATTTGCGACACTTTTTGTTTGAATGAAGATTCATATCATAAGAAATCGTAAGTTCTTTATCCAAAATTAATTTAAATTAGGTTAAAAGTGAACAAAAAACTATGATAATAAATATATTAACTAATTTATAATATACAAATAAAACATACCTTGATTGTCATCATTACAAAAGTTGTGGTTCTTGACTTGAGTTGTTCTAACGTGTGCTGAACCGATGTCTTCATTCAGTAAACTTCTTATAGAAAACGAAATCTTCTCATTCTTTGCATTTAGAAATAAACTTTGTTTAAAATAATTATTTTTTAAAATTAAAAAATATTTTACTAAAATATGCTGGTCGAGTCCTTTAGTTGTCATTTCCAATTTAGGATCCATTACTGATAGCAAGTATAGATAGACACTGTACAGTATAACAACTCTCTTGAAAAGATTTTCAATTGTTATGTATTATATATTATTATACACCAAATGATATGTTTAGTTGGTTGTCATGTCTGGCTACTATTAAACCTTGTTTACCACCGGAACATTTTCAGTCTCATAATGCTAGTCTAAATTTGTCACATTTATAATTATAGTGGTTGGATACTCAATACAATACACACTGTTTGGACACATTATCATATACCGTAATTTGCATTATATTCTATGTGCATTGTAGTTTTGTTAAGTTTGATCCCAACTAATAAATTATTCTACAATTGATATACTGTACTGTAGTTAATAAAATTGTCCTGTATATATTTTATAAGTGTATACTGGCATAAATATACTGAATTATGTTTTCTTTTGCTCTTTTAATAGTTTATATGGAGTGAACTTTGTATTTCTTAAAGCCATCATCCACTCCATATACAATAAGTATTTGATTGATTGATTTAAATAATTGCAATAAAGTTTAACTTAGAATTTATATTAATATACGAATAAACAATCATAATTTAAAGAGTAATAAAAATTATAAATATTATTAACATATAATAAAAAAGTTGTTTGCATATTAATTAAAGTGGCTAAAAGTTAGTTTAAAATGTGTTTATATCATACAGTAGAATAGTGCAGTTTAATAGGCAATCAAGTTTTGACATTAAATTATTATCAATAATCTTATACTCATTCTGTATATTAATAAATAGTGTTTATTAAACGCTTATGATTTTGA